CGGAATGCTCCGTCGTGGCTACATCATCTACTCGTCTTGGAAGCTCAGTAAGGATGGGGGTGGGTATATAGGTTCTTTACTTCTCCTTTCTATCTTATTATCCTTTGACGGTGTCTACTGACATCTCAATTTACTGTTTTATTTTCTCATTTTTTGTACCCCTTGTACTTTTGATCAAACTCAGTGTTAAAAAAAAAAAATTTTGAGTAAAAAAAAAAAAAATAGTAGATAATCAAGACGTGATTATACACATTTTTTTAAATACACATCTTGAACCTGGTTAAGGTTAAATATTTAACATATTCTCTAAGTACGGTATGGTACCATTACCATTCACGTAAGAAAGTTTGGCGGCAATATTTTTTTACTAAATGTAATTAATTCCCTAAACAAAGTAATTAATACAAATCTATGTGATCCGTGAAATTCGGGTTGCTATGTTGTAGTAAACTCGATAGGTAATGGATTTCATTGACACGTTCCAAGATTCTTCAAACAAAAATAAATATTTGTACATTTAAAAAATATTTTCATTATTGTATTTTGAGTAAAGGCCAACTCATGCTATGTCAACTACTATGCAATATTTAAATATAAACTGTAAATCTCATCAAGCACTGTGCAGAAAAGAACGTTGTCATATAAAATAGTGATCTGATTAGATCTAAAACCATTTTTGGGTTTACGATTACTATAGTGAAGAACATTTGAGTTCAATTAATCGTACATTTCAATCTTCCAGAGTTAGTTATCGCTAGCTCCACGATGATAAATATACGGTGATTGATGAGTTTTTGCAAGGCAAATATGGGCACAACCTAGTGAAATATTGTTATTGGTCCCAAATTTTTTGAAAGCATTTGCATAAGTCCTCATCATCAATATGAAAAGACACATTTAAAGTTCTTAAAAAAATGACTATGACCCTTAAAATCTCAAATCTGATCACGTGTTTTTGTAAACTTCGATGAGACTCAGAATCATCCTTAACATCCGTGAAATGATCTTTTGCTGTTGAATAGATAACAATTTGAGAAATGGTCGTTAATACGAGAGCATCCCCAGTCTATTTAACTCTAGCTCTATAAAGGAGTAGCATTTAAAGTCATAACTATTTCAACTTATATCTAGTCTTTTAAATAAATAAAGATTGTCTTTTTCTTTTTAAATAAATAATAATTTCTCATGTTATTTTAAAGAAATACATTACAGGACAAAAAAAAGAAATAGATTAGTGTAATTTACATCTCTGTTTTAAAAAGAAATATCAAAATGTGTTAGAGATGATCTTAGTCATTAACCATGTAAACATCTTGTCACTGTGCAATAAACTAATTAAATAACAGAAGACAAAGTTATAAAATTTTATATGAAATAAAATAGTTAACGGAGAAAACAATAATATAGTTGTTTGTTTTATGGTCTGAATTACTTGTTTTAAACGCTTGTTTCGATATTACTTATTATATTCAGAAAACTATGTTTTGAAACATTGATCCGAGTACTAACCCTCCAATCTCCGAATGTATAAATTCATGTTTATTGAAAGGTTTTTAAAGTAGAGTTCTTAATTTATGATTTTTTTTGTACACTTTTTCATTAAGAATTGATTTGTATACCATCATTAACCACAGTCTATTAACTGAGGTTCTTAACTTCGACTAAAAAGTCATTGTTAATTTTTCTTAGATTTTAATTAAGAAAATCTAAGAATTATTTCTTACATAAGAGATATAAAAATCGTTTATTAACTGAGAAATGTAAAAAAAAATATATATCGAATCATGAATTAAGAATCCCGATTGAAAAACATGATTAATAATATCATTATATCTCTTAATTAAGAACTGATTCTTAATTTTTCTTAATTAGAAACTAAAACTGTATCTTAGTGGAAACTAAAAACTCCGATAATTATGATCTAGTTCCGACTATACAAAACGTCACTGTGTACGTTACCAAACCGATTGAGAGAGAGAGAGCCGATCGAAGATCTCACGTGTATATTTGCCATTAAATTATAAGGGATAGATCGGACGTAGGTAAATCGGCCACGTGCACAAATCATAATCGAGAAGACAGATTCCTCGAGATCTTAAAAGAAAACAATTAAAGTGGGAGACCGACCAATGATAATGCAAAACGCGCATCTTACGTGGACCCGTTTATACAACTTGGCCATGTAAGTTACCGCTGATCTCGACCGTTCATTTGGCGGCTGCTTTTTTCCGGTCTGACACATAAAATCCCAATTTGTGAAAATACAATAAAAGTATATCAACTGTACGTAATCAGTGAATTATAACAGCGGTATCAGTAACGTTATGTTTTTAGTAATATTTTAATGAGGATGTTGAAAATTTTGTTATTACTCTGCGAGGCATCGTATTCTCCCAGAAAATGTCAACTTCATGTATTATTTTAAAATCAAATAAATAAAATCTTGGGTTTCCGAGACAAGTATTTTTGTATTTCGTAATATACCAGTGTGTTCACCATCATTATTATGTTGTAATCATATCAGTCACGGAATTATTCCTCCATTCTTTACATTTTCTTTCACACATTTACAAATTTCTACTCTCACAATCTCACTATTCCTCATACATTATGTTTTTAGTTTTTTTTTCCTTTTGTAAAAGGGCTTAATTTAGTTTTTTTTTTCTTCTTATACGAGAAGATTTGTTTTCTAGCTTTTTAATTATTTTTATTTGTTAAATTAATAAATGATACTACTTTAAATGATATTAATTAAAAATATAAAAATACTATTGACTCATAGTTATGAGAGATGTTTTAGTGAGAGAAAACAATGTATTTAAAATAAATTTAATCATTTTTAATAATTTGTATAAAAACTCCATAGCATTATTTTGTTAGAAACAGAGCAAATATGTGACCAGGTTAATCAAACTTTACACGGCAGTATTTGCACTACAGATTAATAACTAAGACTGCATTTATATTTGACCCAAAAAAAAGACTATGCATTTATAAGATAAAATAAAACACATGAGATACACGGTGTAATTTTTAGGTTGAACTAGAGTGAAATTGAATAATATAAATAATTTATCCTCGGTTACTTTATTTTTCTACCAACCATGAAAAAATAAGATTATTCTTCTGGTTTACTCCAATTATTTTTGTCTTTTCTTGATTGAGAGTCAAATTTCTACTGTTTTATTTGGAGTTGAGCATAGAATGAAAATATAACTAAATAAAATAAATATTTATTCATTTTACTCTCATTTTCTTTAGTTTATTTTCATATTCCTCTTCAATATTCTATATAATTTGATTTTTTTACCCTCTAAGACACATTTCCACTTTCAATTTACACAATCAGACACTTGGTGCTGGAAGCACACTTTCTATATGTCGATTGTCTTTTATACCCTCAAGTTTGTTTCTCTTCAACATACCTTCTTTCGTAACTAAGCATTTATCCTTTAAAAATAAATTCAAAAATTTATTTCTTTTTTATTTCAAAAAGTCATGTAATCCTCTTTCCAGAATCACTTTGGAATCTCAGATTTATTTCCCCAATCTCTAATCCTAATTTTACCAAACCATCTCCTTTTTCTTCTTCATTAATTGTAGCAAAACACCACAAATCCAAAATCCTTAATGCTTGTCTGATTTGTAATTTCCTCTTCACGTATTCATCTCTCTTCATTTATGTAGCCACCATAAACAAAGAAAAGAGGTGGAATTGGAGTGGGAAGAGGTCTTGTACCTTAGATCTGTAAATTTTCCACTTGTTTTGGATCAATTACGGGCGTAACCGCATATAAGGGTGGATGGAGAGGTACGTAGAGTTAATGATATCCTCCGGTTTGATCTGCTACGAGTCTGTAAACTGTGTTACGCTCAAGAGAGCAAAAGCAACAATGGTGAAATTTCATTTTTTTGTAACTGTGGTCCTTCTCATTTTAATTATTCACGTTTTCATCCCAAATTTTTTAAAATGTGCTTTATGGCTCTTTTGATTTAGCCACAAATTTTTAATTGTATAATCTAGATCCTATCAAATGCAAATAAATGAGCTAAAAATATCTCGTAACACATATTATTAACAGAAGAATGTTCTATGTACATGTTCTAGTCCATGTCCACACCTACTGGCTCACAAATAATGGTCCATAGAATCCATTCAGATGATCTTTTTGCAAAGACATATTTTTTTTCATCTAATTTTAATGGTGCACATGAATTATGTAGATAATATTTATGTTCAAACTTTAACAGGGATTTGCTTCCCTGAACTAATCATGATGGAGCTGAGATGAGTTGTGTATTGGGTTATCCACAATTTGTATATCTACAAATTTGGTTATCCACAACTATTATCTCATCCAGGTTTGTTTATCCATGACTAACTTGTCCACGATTCTCGCGTCCACATGTATAAATGTAAAATTATAAGAAAAATATATGTAAATGGATGTCAAAATATAGAGAATAAAATATTACAATTTATTATATCCAGTTTATTGATATATATATTCTCAGTTTTGAAAAACAAGCAAATAAAAAAAAAAGAGGTAAACTAATAACAATAAAAAGATATTTAAAGTAAAAAATACACTTTCATTCGTACAAGTAAAACAAGCGAATAAAATATTACAAAATCTTCCTCTTTCTCCAACCAGGGTTATTCTCGTAAACATAATGAAGAGAGAGAAGGAGAAAGTGTCTCATAAGCTTTAAGTGTCTTTTGTTGTAAAAAAAGAGAACAATGTGTCTCATAATGTAAACAACTCATATAATTTTCACCTAACTTCAAAGTGTTCTCAATCAAACCCTTGTAAACAATGAAACAATTCATGCTTTGTAATAAAGTTTATTTAGACGGGGTGTTTTGTTTTTACTACTAAGTATTATGCATGAATGTAACTTTGCAAATTGACAAAAAGGTAGGAAAAAAAAAGAGAGTCCAATCTTTTAATTTCTGTAATGAGAAAAAAAGACAGCATCACCCAAAATATATAATTTCTCAAGAACAGAACTATAAGAGTTCAAATCATCTCCTCCCTTTCTCTGCATACTCCTCTCTTAACTCTTTCTCTAGTTACTCGAGAAAGATTTTAGAACCTGGTTTCTGGTTTTACTTTTCTTTCTATTTAAGGGTTCATTTGCTTCTTCTTGCACGCTATAATTTTCCCAATTGGGTAAGCTCCAAGGTAGCTTCTTCAATAGTATTATTATTACTATTTTTTTTTGTTTTCATTTCCTGTAGCCATATGTGTATTTTCCCGAGAAATATTATCCACACCCAGATCTTTAAATCTCAACTCTGAGTCTCTGATGCTTATAAACTTACTCATGATTTAGTTCCACCAAAATCTGGAAACCCATTAGATTTATTTTCTTTCTTCTGCATAATCTCTGAGCTATGCACAGATCTTGCCTAGATCTTACTCTGGATTCTCTCATCTCTTTTCCAAAAGGTTGAAACTATGCTAGATTCCTTGAAGTGGGTCTAAGCAACGCTTCAAAGATATTCTGATGATTTTTCTAATCAAAATAAAAACGAAGTATATATCATTTGACATTGGATATATAGATATTATGCAATAGTTCTTCCTTTGATTCACTTACCTCTTCAAACCCAAGAACTCTGATTCTCTTTCTCCCCTTGAACTCTGTCGGTATGTTTTGTTTTTACAAATCTTAAGACCAAAAAAAAAACAGAGCTAGGTTTTACCTTTTTTCGGACATGGAGATTCTGAGACCGACAACTTCTTCACACGTCTCCGGTGGGAACTGGGAGATGAAGAGCAACGTCGCAGCTACCCGTGAGGTCGCCACGTGGACGGCGGCCGAGAATAAGGCGTTCGAGAATGCTTTGGCGGTTTATGACGATAACACTCCTGATCGGTGGGAGAAGGTAGCGGCGGTTATCCCGGGGAAGACCGTGAGTGACGTTATCAGACAGTATAACGAGCTTGAAGCTGATGTCAGCAACATCGAGGCCGGGTTAATCCCGGTTCCCGGTTACATTACCTCGCAGCCTTTCACTCTGGATTGGACCGGTGGTGGCGGTGGATTCAAACCGGGTCATCCGGTTAGCAATAAACGGTCTCCGACCGGTAGATCGCCAGAGTTGGAGCGAAAGAAAGGTGTTCCTTGGACGGAGGAAGAACACAAGTAAGCCTCTGTTCTTTTTCCGGTTTACTTGGAATTGTTAACAAACCGGAATAGTCTATATATCCTTATGAAAATATCTTCAATTTGTCACACTCAGGCTACTTCTACTGGACTTAAAGAGACACATGCATAGTCGTTGATAACAATTAAATATATACATTTTGATATTTTCTGTAAATTGTAATGTATATAGGTTTATGAAAATATATTTGATACAAAGTTTTTGTGACAACACAGGTTATTTCTAATGGGTTTGAAGAAATACGGGAAAGGTGACTGGAGGAACATATCTAGGAACTTTGTGATAACACGAACGCCAACACAAGTCGCTAGTCACGCTCAAAAATACTTTATACGGCAACATTCTGGCGGCAAAGACAAGAGACGAGCAAGCATTCACGATATAACCACCGTAAATCTTGAAGACAAAGCTTCTTTGGAGACGAACAAGACCTCCTTGGTTGGACGAGACCAGCATTCAAGACTAGCCGCGTTTCCTTGGGGGCAACAAACAGACAATAATGGAACGCATGCAGACGCTTTCAACATAACGATAGGAAACGCTCTTAGTGGCGCTCACTCGTACGGCCAGGCTATGCTAGGGCCGTTTAACACGGCCGCTGATCCTTGCTACGATGCGCAGAACACAATGTTTCAGCTATAGCAAGTGGTGATGCGCAAGTTTAATTTTTACATATGGACGGAACAATCGTATTTGAAAATTGTATAATAAACGTCCATTGTTTTGATTGATTCCAATTTAAAAAAGTTAATAAATGTTTCGTGACAATGCCTAATTTTTTAGCTAGTTTGGTTAATGTTTTGTTACTCAGCTACAACGTTAAGACATTAATATATATTAATGGCTTACAATCAAAGGCTGAGGTTTAACTATTTTTGTTAATTAACATTACTTAACTGTAGTAAATATGTCCACACCCTAACATTACTTGGAAGACATTCTAAATTCAGATTATGTAGTAGACAATCTACACTACAATACTAAGTGTGTTTTTTCAAGGTAATTAACCGGATCGGCCGATAGAATTTATTAAACAAACATTACTTAGCTGCATTTGCATAATCACAATTAAAATTAGATAATGTGGGCAAGTGTTAGTTGTTGATGGAAAACACACACACAAACAAAATATTCTGTTATACAAGTTGCAGCCAAAAGGTTAAAAAAGTCACGAACTTAGTCACCTCCAATATCAAGAGTTTGTCGTTTACTGTTTGAATAACTTATATGCATGACAATATGTTTTTTATTCGTTGTTCGTCTCAATCAACCAATCTGTTTCAACAACCACTTGAAGTTAGGGCTGGGCATTTTATCCGTTATATTTGATTCGATTCGTTATTCGTTTCGATTCGATTCGAAAATTCCGGATATTCGTAAACTTTCGAATCAAAGCAAATACTAAAATTCAATATCCGTTAAAATCGAAGCAAATCACAAATATTAAAATTTTGGGAAGCGGATATTCGATCCGATCCGGAAATATATAAATATATATATATCTTGATTATATTTAACATTTTAAATGTATAAAATTATATAATTATTATTCTAGCACATGATTTTGAACAATTCTATTCACATTATTACTTATATAAAAATATTACATAAAATAGAGAGAAAAATTTATGACAATTATTTTTTTTTCTTAAATTTTGTGCTATTATAATTGTAACTTAAACTTAAAAAATTAGAAAATGTGTAAATTCACTAGTTCTTTTCATTTTTATTTTATATATCATGAAAAAATATTTTTGCAAAGCAAATTTGTATCAAAATCCTAAGATTATTTGTATTAATCATAATGGATGAGATATCCGTAAATATTCGTAAATATCCGCAAATATCTATTTATTTTCCGGATATCCGTTTTTCCGGATATCCGTATTTTTTCGAAGCAAAGCAAATACCAAAATTAGATATCCGTAACATTCGAAGCAAATCACAAATACCTTAAAAAACCCGGATATCCGATCCGTGCCCACCCCTACTTGAAGTTATAACAGCGGACAATGTGACATTAGTTTTACTCCTTTAATGGAAGTATCAAATTAGTATTTTTAATAAATACTAAATTTTGATTCGCACTTAGAAAGCGCGGACATTTGTTGTTGAGTAAAATTTGAGTTAAGTTATAATTTTTAGGAGAAATTTGCGCTCCTACCAAAACACTTTAACGATATTTGCAAATTACCAAAGAGAAGGAAACTGTCTACTGTTCACTATTGTAATTTTACTCTACTACCCTCTTATCCTATTGTCCTTCTCACCTGACCAAACCAAAAAATGGGCAGACTATGGAGTTGAAATCGAAGGAGTGAGAAATCTATATTTTTCTTTACATACTCATAATCGTTATAGCCAGCTACTATTAATTGTGAACTTATGATATATAGGGATGACTCCTACTATAAAACAGTTCCGGCTAGTTAACTAACACGTATTATAGTGTCAGACATACTATATAGCCAACTATGAATTAATTTTAACGTCCTAAGTATATATTAACCGTCCATGTAGGTTGTTAACCGTCCAAGTAGATTTTATTAACTGTTTGTTTACAATTTGGTAATGGATATGGTTTTATTTGATATTGTTGGTTAAGGGTTCAGGTGTTACTATTGCTTAGGGTTTAGGGTTTACTGTTTATGGGTTGGTATTAGGGTTTAGTTTGTATGGTTTAAGGTTTATTGTTTAGGGTTTAGGGTTTAGAGGTTTATGGTTTACTGTTTATGGGTTTAGGGTTTATGGTTTAAGATTTAGGGTTTAGGGTTTCTTTTGTTTAGAATTAAAGACTTCATAATAGCAACATACAACCTCCCAAAAAAAAACCGTCAGATTACCCACAGTTAATACAAATTTTAACCCCCAAAAACCATCTAGTTGGGTTAACATGTTTCTTAAGCGTCCATTAGCTTTACATTACCCTTATTTCATAAACCATCAGCACATTAACCGTCCATGTAGGTTGTTAACCGTCCAAGTAGATTTTATCAACTGTTTGTTTACTATAGCTAGATGGGTTAACATTTTTCTTAACCGTCCATTAGTCTTACATTACGCTTATTTCATAAACCATCAGCACATTAACTGTCCATGTAAGTTGTTAACCGTCCAAGTAGATTTTATCAACTGTTTGTTTTCTATAGCTAGATGGGTTAACATTTTTCTTAACCGTCCATTAATCTTACATTACCCTTACTTCATAAGCCATCAACAAATTAACTGTCCATGTAGGTTGTTAACCGTCCAAGTAGATTTTATGCAACTCTTCGTAGTGTGAACGCAATCTTTGAGTTATCTTGCCAAATCCACCAAAGATAACAATCTTGTGTTAGACCTGTTTAGATTTACAAGATTTTTGGGAAGCTGTGACTTGCCAAATCTTTTCTTGATCTTCTGTCAGAAGCTGTGACCTGAAGCTAAACCCGGGAAGCGAAGAAGTAATTCGGGCAGGGTATTTATGTCTTTTTACCATCGCCTGATTGAACACGTAAACACATAGTTTTCCCTCTTTGGTATTTTGCTAATTATGCTATGTTCTTTGATTTTTCAGCTAAATTGCTCTAATTTTTATTAGAAATTAATAATTTAAAATTTTATTATAATGTTTGAGTTTCGAATAGTGTTTTCATATCAATTTAGATTTGTTATCGAACCAATAGACCCAGTAATCTATATATAGTCCAGTTTCGATTTAATAAAACAAAACATGATAAAAGTACAGTAAAAATTCAAAAACCTCGCTATTAACCGTGACTGATGCCGGTTGATCCGATAAAACCTAAAAATATGATAACTTTTCTTAAAATATTTGATTAAATTACTTATATATATTTTTAATATTACATAAATTAAATAAACTTGTGATTCATTATACTTTTATGAATTTGTTTTATTATGCCATTCGAAGAAAGTGAAAACATAGTAGTAGAAAGAAAAATAAATTCAGTTGATATGATAATATTAGTTTTTTTTTTTACTATGCACCTATTGGAAGTTTAATTTTATTTTTATTTTAGATTTAAAATTGATTTTATGATAATTTTTAGATATTTTTGAAAGCACAAAATTGTAAGTTAGTAAGTTTTTGAAATATTAAGTTAGTTAGCAATCCATAAGTGTATGATATCTTGTCTCGTAGATGGAATATTTGTAGCAATCTTAATACTTTTAAAAAAAAAAATTATAACTATAATTATAACTATATATTTATATTTACTAACATATTGGTATAACCGTATAATGTTAAAAGTAAATTATGTTGCCAAACATTTGAACTATGTAAGTATAAAAAGATTATGTTCTAGGCTTAAAATCCAATTGACCCAAATTAATTCAAATATATAATAGGTGCAATATAAAAAAACACAAAGATAAATTAGCTTGTGCACAAAAAAACAGAAGATAAATTACCTCAGTTCAAATATATACTAACCACTCATCATGAGCCTCGCAGAGCAGCACCTTCAGAAGTCATCTTTCTTACCAAACCTTCTAGAGAGCCAAAGTGAGTTTCAATGGCGCCATCAAGAGCTTCCTTCGGTGGCACTCCACAACCTTGCTGAAACTGTTACAAACATATACACCATTAAGCACAAACAATTAATTGGAAAGATATAGAAATAAGTTCAATGCAAACTCACGTTGATAAGAGCATGATTCTTCTACAAAATTGAGTAGCTCATGACCTACAACACAAGACATAAAAACCTATGAGTTTCATTCTCTTGCACAAAAACCAAATATTCGCTTCCCCACCGTGTCTTGGGTAAACAGTAAGGACGGATTAAAACCAAAACTTTAGTTAGACTAAATTTCATTTACTGTCAATTATATATATCGCATCGGTTAATGGAGTTGGTTTTGCTAAGGAAAAAAAGGGCGATTCTGTGGCGACGGATACGGCGATCGAAAATTCGATTTCTCCACTGTCTTCACAGGCAGTAGGGATGGATCCAGAGGGCTCTCCGACGGATCATCCACCTCCGCTCAAGGATCCATGGGTTACGGCGGTGCAAGGGAAACACGTTCTGAAGAAATACGAGTTTGAGGTATTGGTGTCTGAGGGTAAGAAATCGATCGAAGTTCCATCGGATGTTATTGACAAGGCGAATCCACTGTGGGGTGATTTCGTGATTGCAAAGTTTCTAGAAGCGGCTCCTCATGTTGCAAAAGTGCACATGATTGTGAACAAGATTTGGGCATTTGGAGAATCAAATCAGAAACTGGATGTCTACGAAATGGATGCGCACACTATGCGTATCAGAGTTACAAACGAGAAGATCAGAAACAAAATTGTTAGGCGTGGGTTGTGGAATATTGCTGGAGTACCGATGGTTGCGTCGCATTGGTCACCGGAGGAAGATGCATCGAAGGCGGGGCTTGTTCCTCTTTGGGTTCATGTGACCAATGTCCCAATGAGCATGTACTCTTGGGAAGGGCTAAGTTTCATCACTAGTGCTGCGGGTATCCCTGATCATTTGCACCCAGAGACCATTGCTTGCAAAAGCTTTGAGATAGCAAAGGTGTTTGTGATGGCAGATTTGAAGAAAGAGTTACCAGAGACAATGAACTACACTATTGATGGGAAATATACAACAGTCAAATTCACATATCCTTGGTTGCCGCCGAAATGTGCTAAGTGTGAAAGGTGGGGTCATTACGATACGTTCTGCAAAAGGGATACTATTGTGGTAAAGGAAACAAAGGAGCTTGAGATTGCTGAGAGTAGTAGGGGTAAGGAAAGTGTTGTAGAATTGACTCAGAGTG